AGAGGTGGCTTGGAAAGAGAAAATCCTGGTGCCCTGGAAGGCAGGGCCCGAGAGGCTGTCTGCAGTTCCGGGGAGTCGGGGGCGTGGAGGAGAGGGGACCTGAACGTCCAGGCAGCCGCAGGCCTGCGTGAGCTTTGGTTCTGATTTTGATTCTGAACAATTCAAAGCATCCGTGGAACTCGACTGAATCCTCCCGGCTTTCCTCCTCCATCCTGAGGAGAGCTTTTCTGTTTTCATAGTTAATTGTCCTTTGGTCCTTGTGTTTCCGAGTTTCCAGATCAAATGGCGGGATGTCTCACTCTCCCCCGGGGACCAGGTGATCTTTTATGATCTGTTGCCGTCATCCTTTCAAGCAGCGTCTGGGCTCAGCCCCGGCAAAGAAAACTTCCCGAGCGTCCCGTGAAATCCAGTCCTGGAGGGAGCGAGAAAGCGCCGAGCCTTGTGGGAATCCAGAGTGCCACGTGCCCCTGCGCGCCCTCCGTCCATTTCTTTCCTAGAAAAATGGGGAGAGAACTCCTCGAGCTGCCTGATGAATGCAGACTCGGCTCCGTAGGAGAGCGACTCCAGGGGCCCGAGTCATTTTGTGTGGCATGTGTGTGGCGGATCTGGCCATTTACTGCTTTGGCACTCTCTCTCTCACCGTGGACGGGTGACCTCTGTGGGTTTTGCAAGTCTTTCTAGACAAAAAAAAAAGAGGGAGAGAAAATATGTACTAAGTATGTTCTTTGGAATCTGCCCGCGGACCTCAGAGGAACAACAGGAGGAGAGGCGTTTCTCAGAGTCTGAATGGAAAGCGGGATTTTTTTTCCCAGATATGAATAATTCAGGTGTCAGCTCCGCTGTCCTCCCAGAGGCCTTCCCTGCCCTCCCGAGCTCAGTCACTCTCCCCCCTTTACCTTCCCTTTGCTGGATATTGCTGACCCCCTTTCAGAGCCGCCTGCTCCTTACTGTCTGCCTGTCTGTCCACCCCGGGATGCAGAAGCCATGACAGGGACGCGGCCGGTGCTGTATCCTGCTGTACACAGCTGGGCCGGGCTCAGGGTGCATAGTAGGTGCTCAGTGCGAGTCTTCTGAGTGGAGGCCAGGTGCTGGGGGAGTTGGAAAAGGGACAGGAAGAGGAAGAGGTTGGGTTTGTCCAGTCCCCCCCTCTCCTGGCTGTGAGCCTCGAGTCACCAAACCTCCTGAGCCTCCGTCCCTCTATAAGATGGGCTTAAACTTGCTTCCAGATAGCCCAAGAGGCTTAGCTGAGATAAAGTCTGACCACATCTGGCACAGGGACCGACGTAGTCAGGGATGGCTCATTCTGGGTCTTTCTTTGAGATTCTCTGATTGGAGCAAACAGAGCCCTTCTCCTCCTGAGTGCCAGGGCTTCCCGGCCTCCGCCTCGGTCCAGGATGGACTCTCTGAGGAGAACCCTGCCGCCCTCCTTTGGGTCCAGGGAGCACCCCGAGGACGTAGGCAGTTCCGGGGCTTCTGCCCGTTCCTCTGTCCCCAGGCTTCTCAAGAGGCGGGGACCCTGGGAACTAGCAAGCAAGGCCCTGACCTCCTGGCCTCCTTTCCCTTCCTCAGCCCAGGCCTCGTGCCAACCCCAGGGGCCCTGAAACACGTCACCTGTGCCCCTGGCTGACACAGATGCCACCAGGCCATCAGGCTGGACCCAGGGCGTGGATCACTGCTGGCCCACCCCAGTCCAGGCTCTCCGCCGAGAGCTTCCTGCCTCTCTCACCTCCGTGGCCGCGGCTCTGCTGGGGCAGCCTTGAAGCTGCGCCCCTTCCTTCCAGCCACCGGAGCCTTCAGGGAGCGGGCCACGGCGGTTTCTTGGCAGCAGCTCCAGGATGGGCCGCCTGGCACCGGGCAGCAGCCAGTCCTCGTCCTGCTTCTCCGTGTGCCCCCCACTGCCCGGAGGTGCCCGGCCCATGTTGTGACAGGGAGGCGCCTGGTGTGACGGACACAGCCCTCAAATCAGCCAGACCCCGGCTTCCCCAGGCCTGGCCGCCAGCTGCTTGGCCACACGTGTTAGGAACAGGAGGCTCCGATCTTACCCTGGGGACCGCGGTGGGAACGGGCTCCCGCCATGGGGGAGGTGCCGTCATGGTGCCGGGAGGTGCCCTCTTGCACCAACGCCTGGGCACGTTATTAACCCCCAGGATCCAGCTGTTCCATCTCCATAATGACAAACAGCCCCTGCAGGGGGAGCTGGGGACGTGAGCACCTGGAGGACCTCACCAGTGTGGGACCTGCTGTAGGTGCCCAGGGGACGTCCAGCGGGGGTAACAGAGAAAAGGAAGTCTTCAGACTGAGGGCGCCCCCAGGAGCAGCCCCTTGGAGGCGGGGGTACAGTTGCCCCGTTGTGTGAGAAGCAGGGGGCATCCTGGCCACCAGCACTTCCTGTGACAGCAGGACCAGTGTCTCGGTTTCCTCTCTTGGAATTCTGAGAGTAAGGACATTAATTTTACAAGATGAATGTGAAGATTAGACGAGAGGAGGAATGAAAAATCTGGCTGTGTGTAACATTACTGTATCACTCTTTTGAAACAGATGAGAAAATCGAGGCACAGAGAGGTTAAGTATCTTATCCAAGGACACACAGCTGGGAGAACTGGGGTCCAAAGCCACGCTGCCCATTGCTGTGCCCAACCTCCTCCCTAACAGCGCCTCCCAGAGGTGTGGTGAAAACTGCATGCGCCAATGCACACATTCGCAGTGGGGTGTTTGGCGTTTCATAAATGCCTGCCTGTAAAATGGGGGTGACAGCCCTCACCCTGGTAACTCTCAGGTGACCAGAAGGCTCAGTGAGGAAGGCAGAGCCGTTGGGAATGCTACATCCGCTTGCACCAGGCGGGCTGTAGACGACATTTTCCCATCAGGCCTGTTGGAACCCACGTGTCCATGAGCCGAGGTCCTCCCCATCCATCACCTTTGACCCCACCCCTAGGCCCCCTGTCCCCAGCTGACACCCAGCCTGTGGTAGAGGGGGAAGCGGGGAGACCCCTCATTTGCAGTCAGGGAACCATCTAAGTGTGCTCCTGGCCGGTGACCTCCTCCTGTCTGCTGCAGGCCCAGCAGCTCACCAAGAAGGGCTCAGGGACAGGGACAGGGACGGGGGTGGGGGGGGACCTTGCCCTGCGGGCCTCTGTCAAATTCCTGCTGAGTACATTAAGGCCACTGGGCAGGGAGGGCTTCTGTCCCCCTTTCTCCACAGCCCCCATGACATGAGCAGCCAGGGTCCCCTGTGATGCCACCAACCTAAGGCATCTAATCAATATGTATTTATGGAGGCCTCCGTGTGCCGGGAACTCCGCTAAGTGCTGGGGACAGCGGTGAGTGGCCGAGCTACCGCTCGGGGAGCCCGTTCTGGTGGGGAAAATGGATGCTAATTAATGAGTCACGATCCTTGTCAGAGTTCAACTTCAGTAAATCTCCATGACGGGGGTTCAGCCTCGTCCAGGAGGATGGTCCAGGAGGCTGGGGAAGCAGCCGCGAGGCTGAGGCTGAGGGGAGTCCAGCAGGCAGGGCGGGGGCTGCAGGCACAGCCAGGCGGGGAGAAGCAGCCCGGCCGGCCGAGTGCAGGGCTCCTGGGCCTCCTTCAGGAGCTGACCTTGTACCTGATGGAATTGTGGCGGGTGTGGGGTGGAGTGCGGATAGGAGCGAATTTGCATTTCCCATAATCACACCTGGCTCCTGTGTGGGGCGTCCTGTAGGAGGCCAGATAGAAGGCCTGGCCTCCACTTGGGGGGCTGCTGCAGGAGTGCCATGGAGACAGATGTGTTTGGGATTGGGGTGCCAAACCCCAATGCTGGGGTTGCAAAGAAAAGTGGATAGAGAGATGCTGAGTGGGTGAGTTAATAGGATAACAGGCACCTTGGGCCGCTGTTTATTGAGCACATAGCCACCGTGCTGAACATTTTACAAACGTTATCTTTCTTCCTCTCGAGGTTACTAAGAGGATTAAGGAAGTATTCCTGTTCTTTCAGATAAGGAAACTCAGACCCAGAGAGATTAAGTCACTCACGCGAGGCCACACAGGTGTTGGCCTCTGGTGTGAATGCTGGTTCTGATCCGGCAGGCCTCGGGTGGGGCCTGGGGTGCTGCATTTCCACGGGCTCCTGGCTGGGGGTGCCCACCTGCTGCTCCCCAGACCACAGCTGAGCTTAAACAGCACCACCCCCACCCCACCCCCTGCTCACACTCAGCCCTGGCGCCTTGGGACGGTCACAGATGGCCTGAATTTCTGAGTGCTCGAATCTGGACCCCACAGGCAGGATGTCCCGGGTCCTGTCACATTTGCCTTTCAGTCGCTCAGGCGAGTCTGAGAGCCAGACGCGAGGAGGTAGCAGGTCCCTTTTCTCGGCCTCCTGCAGTCCCCAGTGCAGACCCCACCCATGTTCAGCAGCTGAACGGGAGTCCAGGGGTCGTGGGTGCTCCTGGCCTCGTCCACGGTCCCCGTCAGACCATGCCGGGTGGCACCCGAGCGGGGCTGGACCAGGGTGTCCTTGGGCTCTGCTGGAGGGGAGGAGAAGCCCTGTCCTCTCTGGGTCATCAGATCCCAGGATGATTAGAGACCAAAGCCCCTCCCGATCGGCCCCCGCCAATGGGAACAGGGGACACTGCTGGAGATGCCAGTCAGGCTGCGCCCCGCGGGGTGGGCTCCTGTCCTTAAGGATGAGGACCCGTTCCTGGCAGCTCGGGGACCAGCAGCTGTGGTTCTGAGTCACTGCCACACCTGGCCGAGCGCAGGCTTTTTAAGGAGGGGACCGGCTCGGCATTCCCGCCCCCTCCTCCCCGCTGCCCACCCCCCCCAGACTTCCCCCCTGAGGCCGTGGCCGCCACCCTGCCTCGTCCCTCCTCCAGGGCACCTTCCTTTCTTGGCTCCATGGCTCTGGGCCCCTGGTCTGGGAGGGCACCTGGGCCTGGTGACTGCAGGCTCCAGTCGCTTGTCTGTGGGAGAGAATTCTGGAGCTCCGAGGCAGGAGAAAGATGACCTCAGACCAAAGGCCTGCCACGGTCCTCATGTTGAGGTCTCTCGTCCCTGGGGCTTGTTCAGGGGACAAGAACATCCTTTGTTTGGGAAAGAACTAGAGAAGCATCTGAGGATTCGGCTCCCAGAGTTTTGGCTCCCTCATCCTCCATCGCTAGAGCTGCCCAGAGCAGGGCAGGGGAGGGGCAGGTGAAGGGCAGGCCAAGGGCAGGCCTCGTGGTCTATTGTTCTGGATTCTTTGAATCTGTACATCACAGACTGCTGGAAGGGAGGGGCTTCAGAGACTCCAGAGCCACCTTCTGCCTCCAGCATGGACACCACAGGACAACTGCCTGTCGTATATTTCTAGAACCCACTGTGGGCAGAGGTACGGATCCTCTTGTATTTTAGTCTCATGTCTGGTGATTCTCATGGTCACATTCTTGAACCTGACCTGAGTGTCTCTTGCTACAACTCAGGCTGCCATTGCTCGGTCAGGTGCACCATCCTCCCCTGCTTCTTGGAGACAGATGCTCCCAGCGCTGCTCACCTCTGAGTCCTGGCCACGGCTAGTCACTTTCCCTCTCCTCCTCTCCCGTGGCTCCTGTAAAGCGTGGTTTGGGGAATGCATTGTGTCCCTGGCCCTCAAAGTCTGTTTCTCTGGAATTCTGGCCCCGGGCTGCAGTTCATGCTGTGGCTTCTGCTGCATGAACTTCTCTGACTTCTGCTCCGAGGACCTGCCTCCTCCTTCCCTGAAGACCCAGCTCTGCCCTGTCTGTCCCACAGCCAGCCGCCCTGGTACTTCCTCCCCGTGGACAGGACCAGACCCCTTCCCCGTCTTATTTTTCATTTAAAAACATTTCTTTTTTACATCACAAACATTTCTTAATGTTCATTGTAGAAAATTCAGAAAATATAAGACAACTAGAAGAGAAAATTTAAAATCCCTGAACTGCTCCTATCAGATAGCACCGCTGTCAACCACGTCTTTTCTTTTTAGACCCTTGTACATAGGCCAATGAAATTTCATACCATATCATTTAGCATCTTGCTTTTCCACTTAATATGACATAATGAATGATTTTTTTGCCCATCACTAAACATTTAAACACAATTTTTAATATCTGTTTACTGTTTTATATCTCATACATTTTTTTTAGCCCTTGCATAATTATTTCTAAGTGGAAAAATACCTATCCCGTCAAGCCCGCCGAACGACCCAACTCGAGGAAGCTGAACTAGTCAGGGAGCTGCAGGAATGTGAGCGGCGGTTGTTCATTATGTGAGTTTTATCTCCCCGAGTGGACTGCTCTTCTGTATTGTCACAAAATTGTTAAACACTTTTCTCATTCGCCGAGTTTTGCACGGTGGTAGGCAAAATAAGCTGTCTGGCTGTAATCTTCAAAAACCCCTGTATGTATTTATAAATTCCAGCTTCTTTCCTGGGGATTTTGTAGGGACTGTGGCCTAAGGAAGTTATTTGAAATATCATGAGCACAGAGATGTTCAGTGTGGCATGATTTTGCATTAGCCCCAAACTAGGAATCACCAAAATGTCTAGTGGTCCAGGAGGATGATAAAGTCCACGATGATGAGTCAGTGTGTCAGCTGCAGAAAATGATGTTTACAAAGCCTTTGTGATAAAATTGAATGTTTGTTTCGTAATCACAGCAAGAAACAAAGAGTTGTGGGAGGAAAAGGGTGGAAAGACACCAAAATGGGAACGGTGGTTAGGGATGTTTTCCTGCTCTCTGTCTGCTTTCCTGCCGTGAGCCTGTGAACCCTTGATCCATTAAAATACTAAGAGATGGATAGACAGATATCAGTTTTATTTTTTAATCATCTGCAAAGATGCTTTAGTCTTTTCGGTGTTGCTATAACACAATACCTAAAGTGAACACTTTATGAAGAAAAGAGTTTTATTTGGCTCACAGTTGTGGAGGTTCAGGGGCGTGGTGCTGGCATCAGATTCTGGTGAAGGCCTCTGGGGAGAGACCTTGCTGGTCTCTGGTGGACAGACAGAAAGAGGAAGTGAGTGTGTGCAGGAGAGAGAGGTTGCACCGAGAGAGGAAGCAAGAGAGCGAGCCAGCCAAGAAGTGGCTTCGTGACAGCCCTCTCTGGGCAGCCAGGCTGGTCCCAGGAACAAACCCACCCCACAAGACGGGCATTGGGCCTCCCAAGGGTGGTGCCCTCCATGACCTAATCACCCGCCACCAGGGCCTCCCGTAGGCTCCACCCCCTTTCAACACCGTGACATGGGGACCAGGCCCCCAGCACATGAGCCTTTGGGGACAAACTGGGTCCAAACCATAGCAAAGAATACTGCAGAGCTGAGCTCAAGAGAAAGGAGCGACCAGAAATGGGAGGAGAGGCGTGTGGCCCGAGGCCGATGAGCTGAGACTTCTGGAAAGTGCTCAGGACCCCATGAGGGGCCTTTCGGGGGGGGGTGTCTGTTTAGCAGGAAGAATAGACTAAGGACGGCACCTCGACGGGGCAAGACAATGTAATTATAAAAGGAGAAACCGCAGTTGCAATTGCTGATTTGTTGCTGGGCTCTGCCTTCTCGGCACAGGCGGAGGGAGCCAGGGTGGAGCCACCAGGCTTTGGAGGAACCGGGGTGAGAGGAACCACAGGGTGGCCGGCAGTGGGCACGCTCCGTCGTGATCCTTAAAAAAATAGGAAGATAGAATTCTGTAATAGAGAAATCTGAGTCACTGACCTCCAGCAAAATTCCCTAACGGTTTTTTTTTTTTTAAATAATTCAGACTTGTAGAAAAGTGGTGAACTCCACCCAGGGTCTCCCGTTGACCACCCATCATGGTTCTGCAGATGTTAACATCTCACCCTCTCCGCTCACCCGCCTTCCTAGACACGTGCACACACATCATGATTTTTCTGGACCATTTGAGGGCACGGTGCAGACACAATGCTCTGGAACCCTGAAAACTTCATTGTGTACTTCCAAGAAGATGGGGCGCTTCCACTAAACCACAGCAAAACCGTCACAACTGGGAATTAACATTGGTACAGTGTGACTGTTTGGTCCCTATCCCCCATTCAGATTTTGACAGTTGTCTCAAAAATATGTCACCACCCACCATCCCACCATCACCATCACCACCACCACCATCATCACCATCATCACCATCACTACCATTACCATCACCACCATCATCACCACCACCACTATCATCACCACCATCACTTACCACCACCATCACCGATGTCATTTCTGGCCCAGGATCTGATGCAAGATCCTGTGTTGCACTTGGTGCCCATCTCTTCAGCCTCCTTCCATCTGGAGGTTCCTGGGTCTTTCCTTTTTGACTTTGTTGTTTTATTGATTTTCTTGCAGGGCTGGGAATGGACCTCAGGGCCTGTGCATGCCAGGCTCGCCCTCTACCACTGAGCCACACCCCAGCCCTTTGTGAGACAGGGTCTCGCTAAGTTGCCTGGGCTGGGCTTGAACTTGTGATCCTCCCGCCTCAGCCTTTCAAGTAGCTGGGATTACAGGTGTGAGTCACCTGTAGTTGTGTTTGAAGAAATGGATTCACGACCCTGGAGGTTGCTCAGTTGGGGTTTGACTGATGTTTCCTCATGGTTAGTTCACATCAGGCAATTTTGGCAGAAATATCCCTGAGGTAGTGTATCCTGCTAGGTGTCAAGTCAAAGGGTGAATGGGATTTGTTCCCACTAATATTAAGTAACAGCTCTATTGAGATAGAATTCACATACCACAAAACCCACCATTGGAAAGTGTGGCATTCAGTGTTTTTTGTATATCCAGTCATAGGGTCATCACCACAGTCAATTTAGAACATTTTCATCACCCAGAAGACCTCAGGCCCAATAGCAGGCACTCTCCATTTCCCCGTCCCTGTTCCTGGCCACCACCACTCCACTTCCTACCAGTGTGTGTTTGCTTATTCTGGACATTTCACATAAATGGAGTCATACACTCAGTAGCATTTCTGTGTCTGGTTTCCTTGCTTGGCATAGTATTTATTGCCCATGGTGTGACATGTGCTTTGATCCTTTTTGTGTCTGAGTAATATTCCATTGTATGGATATACCACATGTACTTGATCCATCCATCAGTTGATGGGCATTGGGGTTGTTTCCACTTTTTGGCTAGGATAAATATTGCTGCTGTGAACATTTATTTCTGTGTGGACCAATGTTTTTATTTTGTCAAGGGCCCCTGAGATCACTCCTAGGTTTATCAATTCACTAGGAGGACTTGAGGACTCGCCACAGTCCCACTCACAGCTAGGATTTGTTACCGTGAAAGAACACACCACAAAATGAGCCAAAGAAAATGTGCATGAAGGGCTGGGGTTGTGGCTCAGCGGTAGAGCGCTCGCCTAGCAGGTGCAAGGCCCTGGGTTCGATTCTGAGCACCACATAAAAATAAATAAAAATAAAGGTATTTAAAAAAAAAAGAAAAAGAAAATGTGCACGAGCGGATGTCTAGAAGAAACCAGGTACGGGCTCCAAGAGTCTCTTCCCAGGCATGGCACACAGCGTGCACTTAATCCCTGCAGCATGAAGTCGTGACGCCGTGGATGGTGTTGTCTACCAGGCAAGCTCTTCAGAGACTCATTGCCCAGGGCTTTTGCTGGGGGCTGGTCCTGTAGGCACCCTCTGCCTGAAGTGTACTGAAATCCCAGCTCCCGCCAGGAAAGCAGATGCCTGGCATTAGCCCCGAGGTCTGTGCAGCCCGGCACCGCGAGCCTCCCTTATCAACTTAGACGGCGCTGGGAACGCCCGCGGGATCCACTTTCCCAGGCAGCCCAGGCCCAGCCTTGCAAGCAGCCCTTTCTGAGCCACATCTCTCCCACTTGCTGCGTCGACTCTTCCCGGTGCAGGTATACATTAGGATCGGCTTTGCCAGGTTCTCTGGTGACACCACATTTAACATTCCCCCCCAAGTGGCTGCAGCGTCTTTGTTCTCCACTGGCTATTTATACAGGTCCCCGGGGCCCCACATCCTGGCCGGCACCTTGGCTTGGCCATCTTTGTGAGTGAAACCATTCTAGCAGGTCTAATAGGTCTTTAAGTCAGCAATTTGCAAGCGTTTAGAACAAAAAAATAATGATTCATAGAAGCCAAAATGATCTCTCTGAGAACAATCATGCTCGTCTAACCCCTTATTTTCTTTCTTTTCTTTTTTTTTTTTAAGGCAATTTATTCCTTCTGTACGAGCTGTACTAGGGCAGGGTGTGTTTCTGTTCCAGCCTCGTCTTTCACAATATCTTCATGTACAAAAATGGAGAGCCGGGGGCTGCGCTGATCACTTGGCGGCTTCCTCATCTGTGGATGGATGACAGGCAGCTCCCGGAGCCGGGAGCGAGGCTCTTCTGCTGCCTCCTGGCTCCGTCCTCAGCCAGCTACAAATGCCTCTGTCCAAAACCTGGGGAGACACACGTGGCAGCCCGTCGGCTTTGCCAGTTACTCAAAGTAGGAAGACGCACATGTGTTGAGCAGTGAGATCTGGTTCCAGAAAGATCCTGGCAGCCCGGGTTGACAGGCAGATTCCAACAAGATGGACGGACTGGGGACAAATGGCAGGTCCGTGCCTGCAGGACCTGGTCCAGTGGTGACCGGGGCAAGCTCACACTTGGATGTCTGGCCCTTACCAAAAGCATCAGTTCAAGGAATGGGCGACAGAGTCGTGGGGCACCTGGAAGAGCATTTCAGAGGGCACCGTGGGAAGCGCGGGGGATTCAGAACTTCGCTGGGAGGGAAGCTGCCTGAGGGGCAGTGCGGTCCGCTGGCCAGCAGGCATCCTGCAGGGACTCCAGAGTGGACTCCCCGAGGCTGAGGGTCTGCAGGGGGTGGCAGGGTGAGCCAGATTCAGGCTGATTAAGGAAGCATCCTGTGAAACTCTGTAGTGCTTGGGCTGAGGTACCCCTGAACCTGCACCTGCCCCCTCCTGAGCCCATGTGTGGCTCACCAGCCTCTGCCCTCCGACTTCTCTTTCACCTGCTGGTGTCCTACCTGTGTCGTCCATGGTCTGCACCGAGTCTCCTGGCCGCAAGTGGCGCTCCAGAGCCAGCTGTCTCGTCCCTTCTTATATTCAGTTGGCAAATATTTTAATGAGCACCTTCTATGAGCCGGCGGCTGGGTGAGTGGTAGGGTGCCCAGCGGTGAATACTGGCCAGGGATAAGGGACTGTGGGTGGGAGTGTGACTTGGGTGTGTCTGGGAACGGGGTCTCCCTGCAGATGTGCCCTGCAATGAGACCTGAAGGAAGAGGAGCAGGTGGCAGCGGGGAAGAGAGCAGAAGCCGGGAGAGTGACCCCTTGGCTTCAGCCGGGGACCAGGCCCCTGGCAGCGCTTGGTGCAGGTGTGTTCGCAGGAGGGAGGAAGGCTACTGGCTGGAGGGCGAGGGGCTTTCTGTCCCCTGCTCATCCAGCACCTGGGTGGAGCCCCCTGGGTCCCAGCTGGGGCGACGCTTGTGCTCTGAGGGCCTGTGTGTGACGCCTTCGGAATCCAGCCCTGGAGGCGCGTGGGATGGGCCCTGCCTTCCCTCCACCCCGTGGAGGTGGGTGACAGAGAGAATAGGACGTGTTCCAAACACCTCCACATCCCTGCAGTGACAGTGCCTTTGAGGCCCGTAGACACCGTGGCTCCTGTACTTGCTCTGCCTGTGTCCCTCCCTGTGAGGGGACAGCTCCAGGTGAGGTCCCCCCCCCCTTCTGGGGCTTCTTCTCTGCTGTCATTTCTGTTTGAGGAGCTGCCGCTGCCCCTCCCCCACAGCCACTTGCCCCCCCCTCTCCCCACCCACTTCACAGGGGCGACCCCCGATGAGAGAGGCTGAGGGAGGAGGCCAGGCCCCTCCAGCACTGGTACCGCAATTATTTGCCACCATTGCCAATTCAAGATAAGTAGAAAATGACGGCGGGGGAGAACCAGGCCCAGGGCAGTGCCAGGCACCTGGCATGCGTCACCTGACATCTGCACGCGTGCTGCACGGGCAGCCTCACGTCACCAAGCACCGAGGGGACCTGCGGACAAGGAGATGGAAGGGCTGGGTTCCAGCCACCTGGCTGCGCCGTTGTGACCGCTTTCCTCCGGGAGCCTCCGTTCCATCAGCTACGAGATGGGGAGGTGGCGCTGGAGTGTCCCTCTGTCTTCCAGGAAGGCGGGTGACACTCCCATCAGGTCTGTCTTCCGTGTCTGTGCATTGGGCCACGGCAGTGGGTGCATCTGTGGGCACTGTCCGGATGTGCCTGGAAGACGTGGCTTCTAAACCTGGGCACCAGGGGCTGCCCCTCATGGAGGACACAGGTGACATCCTAGAAAGAGGGCCACCGGGAGAAACAACACAGGCCAAGGGACAGGAAGAGAAAGCCACAGGCCGCAGCACGGTGTCCAGCAGGGCGGTCATGGGCACAAGTCCAGGCTGAGCGTCCCTGGTCAGAGATCCACGGGGCTCTGAAGTCTGAAACTTGCAAGAGCTTGATGCCACACACCTGGCCTCTTGGGATGGTCACAGTGAAAATGCAGGTACGCCAGAAATATCGTGCAAAGTCATCCTCAGGCCGCGCGTCTAAGCAGTATGCGGCACAGAGGAATCCGCGGCTGGACTCGGGCCTCCTAGGATGCCTCATCCTACAGATGTGGATTTTCTAAAATTCAAACAAGTCTGAAATCTAAGCCTCTTCCAGGTCCAAGCATCTGGGGCAAGGGACACTCACCCTGTGATGCATTCATCGGTGGTTGTCAGATGTGACCCAGGGACCGACACATCGTGGGGGACTGTCAGAAAGGCAGTTCCCGGCTCTTCCTCAGCCTGCTGAGTCGGAGCTCAGGGTAGGGCCGTCCACCCGTCTCCATAGCCCCCAGGGCTTCTGGGGCAGCCAGTGTTTGTGAATGGAAGTGAGGGTGGGGCCCGAGACCAGACGGGCGCTTTGAAGGCCCAGGTGGGAAGTGACCCCGGGACCGCCACTCCCCTGCTGCTGGAAGGGGGCAGGTCATTCTGGTCGCTCAAGGAAACCTTTCGGATGTGGCAAAGCAGGCTCATGCCTGGTCAGTAGACCTCGGAGGAGGCAGCTGAGACTGGGGGACATTCAGCCAGAGCCCCAGGGAGGGTGGCAGAGGCAGTGTTAGAAACCAGACCTCTCTGATCTCGCAGCCTGAGTTCTTTTCACTGCAGCGGCCCCTGGGCTCTGCCTTCCTGTGCTCCCCACTCCCTCCTCTGCCCTGCGGCCACCCAGAGCTTTGCCGTGCCTCCTGCAACCTGCCCTGCAAAGGCAGATGGGGGACACCATACAAGGGGACAAGGGGACAAGCGCGGGCAGGCGGTCACCATGCATGTTCCTCAGCCTGGGGAGCAGGTGCTGGTGTGAGGCGAGCTCGGGGTGTGCCGGGTGACACAGTGCCCGGCTCCTGTTGAGGCCTCTGTGTGCCCAGCCCTGGTCTGGGCGCTCTGGGGGAAACCGAGGCAAGGCGCGTGCAGCCTCTGCCCTCGTGCAGCTCGGGCTCCAGAGCCAGGGAGACAGCCAACCGCAAAATGGGCTTAAGGCCCGTTGCCCCGGGTGGACGGGGCTCGCCCACACCGTTGGCATCCCTCACCGAGGTCCTGTCCTCTGCTCTTTCTGGCAGATGATGCAGTTCGCCTGGGCCAACTACCGGCGCTACGCCATGGGCAAGAACGAGCTCCGGCCGCTCAGCAAGGACGGCTACCAGGGCCACATATTCGGTGAGTCGCTGGGGCACCTGGACGTCGCCAGGGAGGCTGGCCACGCGGGGGGGGGGGTGCTGAGTCGCACCTGGGGCTCTGTTTCCTCCTGCTGAGAGGAGTCCTGTTCCCTGGGAGCTGCCCCTGCTTCCCCGACTTGGGGAGCCCCACGCCTCTCCAGCGTGTGGATTTCTGGGTGCAGTGACCACTTGGTCTTTAAAGCAAAGAAACTTGGAGTTGTGATGGGGAGGGGAGGGCTGGAGACCTGGTACCCAGGAGAAGGCTTGGTGACTGCTTCCCCGGAAGGTGGCTGTGGGATGGTGCGGGAGCCGTCCTGGAGGCTGAACACACTCCCATGGGCTGGGGACCAGGCTGCCTTGAGGGTCTCGGCACCCGTGTCTCTGGGACGCTCCAGGTGGACCCTGGAGTCGGGGCAGCTCGCGTTTTGCCTGCAGCTGTGCAGTCCCCTGGCTTCGCCCCGGGCCAGCCGCAGGCCCAGAGCCCTGTATGTCCCTCCCTGATCCCACAGAGGCTGCAGGGGCTTATTATGTGCCCAGCCTCACATGTCAACTCTAGCACCCACCCCCGGTGCCAGCCCCCCTCTGCAGCCATTCCTGCCCAACGATGCTGCGACAGCCCGGCCACCCCCTTCCCTGGGACATGGGTGGTGCTGCCCTGGAGAGAGGAAGCCCACTCCCCCTATCCCTCATCCCAAAAGGTTCCTGGAATCTGGAACCAAAAAACCAAGATGGAAATTCCCAGGAAAACCTAAGGGCAGATTTACAAGGGACAGCCCCACAGGCATGGCCCTGTCCCAGGTGTTGGCGTCATGGGAAAGGGGACAGGGACCCTCCTTCTCCTAGACCAGTCGGCCTCGGAACCTGGCTGGCGGTGCAGACGAGTTCCTCCTTTGGGTGTGGGCCGTGGACTTTAGTAGCGGGTGTGTATTTATTTTTCTGATTATCCTAGGAATGTCGGGAGGAGGGGGAAATGTCAAAAAGATAAGGCAGAAAAAAAAAAGTTCCTGGACGTAGCTGTGGCTCTTGGCTCCTGGGCTCCTCCCCTCCCCTCTCTCCTTCTGTGTGCTCCCCCCCCCCATACTATTCTATGACTTGTTTTTTTTTTTTGGTTTAATGTTACATCGTGAGTGTTTTCCTAGGTCCTATAAATTTTTCCTTTTTAATGGCTCCAGTGATTGTGTGGGCCATCATTCACTTAACCGTCCCCCTGATGTTAGACAAAGGTTTTGCTATTAGAAATAATGCAGGTGGTAACATTTGTGCATAAGATTTTGTCTGAGAACAGATTCTTAGAGAGGAATTCCCAGGTCAGATGGAGGAAGGGAGATGCTCCCTTAGCCCTGAGCAGGAAGGTGGATCCCGGGTAGGGCTGGCTGTCCCCACCTGCCCAGGGCAGACCTTCCTGAGCACCCCACGGCAGCCCTGGGGAAGGCTGTGGATCTCATTGAAGCTGTTGGAGATTCTGCTACAGGAATAAACAGAAATGTGGTGGAGAAAGCATCCCCTCTCCTCTCTGAACAGTCTGCAGATATCCGGGGAGTTGTGGTCAGTGGGTAGGAGAGACTGCGGATTTCTGAAATCACTCAGTGTAGGCCCAGCGTTTGCTCAAACCACCACGGGAAACACTTCTGGGAGGGATTGGGCTGAACTCAGCCTCATTGTGTATCGTTTCTCATAGCTTGGGATTGAGTCTCAACCCTCCAGCCCCTTGTCAGTCACCAAACCTGGAAGAGCTGCCTTTAAAGGTGGAAGGAACCCAGGTTTTGAGTCTGTTTACAAATTCTTACACTGTCCTGAACTGTGGGACCAAGTCCAAGTCACTTACCCTCTCTGGGCCCCTGTGGTTCATCCTTCATACTGGGCTGCTGTGAAGATGTTAGCGAGTGCATACGTGAACAGGCAGAGGCCCGTGTATATAAGAGTGACTTACGATTTCTGTTGCAGTGGCCCCAGTGAGCCCACTGTGAGTTCTGAGGTCCCTGGGGTGGCCTTAGCAAGGCCCTGGGAACCCATCACCCAAAGACAGGGAGTCTTCCCTCTGCAGCTAACAAATGAGCCTCAGTGGGTGGCTGGCCCCTGAGAAAGGAGACCCCGGCACAGGCGGGGGAGCTGGTGTGGACTTTTTTCTCTCTCACCAAATGCTCACTAGGGGCCATGCCCAGGGCTGCCTCCTGGGGACACGGGGGCAAATGGCACAGCGAGCTCTCCACCAACTCTGCCAAGACACACAGGCACCACTCCCCAGGGCCTCCCTAGGGTCCGTCCCAGTGTTCTCAGAGACAGGGACACGCATAACAGACAGGAAGCGTCCTCCTGGCTGAGGTTCTATGTTTCTGGAGCCAGACAGACCTGGGCTCAAACTCAGGCTTCCCCACTTCTGGTTGTGTGGCCTGGGGCAGGTGGCTTCTGTTACTACGTGGTGGCTACCATGACTGTCACCTTGAATAGGTCCTAGGTACAGAGGCCCACGAGAATACACCAAAGGCTTGATTCTAGGAGCCTGGGAGAGGTTCTAGTTGGGGTGGATCCAAGAGGGGCTTTCAAGCTGGGCTATCCCCAAAGAAACAAGTGGGTGGGCCAGGCGCCATGGTACTCACCCCTGTAGTCCCAGGGGCTCGGGAGGCTGAGGCAGGAGGATCTCGAGTTCAAAGCCAGCCTCAGCAATTTAGTGAGGCCCTAAGCAACTTTGGTGAGACCCTGACTCTAAGTAAAACAAAAAAAGGGCTGGGGGCGTGGCTCAGTGGTTAACTGCCCCTAGTTCAATCCCTGATACCACAAAAAAAAAAAAAATTAAGCTGCGTGTCACCACCACGTCCTTCCTGGACTCCTGGGGCTGCATCACCCTGGACTCTGGCCTCACTGGAGGCTGAGCCCTGCGGACACAGGACGCCAGGGGTGGTCAGGTGGTAGGCAGTGCCCATCTGTCCTGCCAGCCGAGACCCTGAGCAGGGTCCCTGTTGGCGCTCAGTTTGGACATGGACACCTGCAGGCTCGCTCTGAGAGCCAGTGGGGTGGGGGGACCTGCTGGGGGCTGGCTGGCGGGTTCATGCGGTACCTTGAGATCTACAGGGTAGATGCCGGAGCCTCATCTCCCTGCGTGGCCCCTCCCCACACAGCCCCCTCTCCCGGCTGCCTCCTGCCCTTCCTCAAACCTGCTCTTACTGTGGGAACCAGGCCTCCCAGCGGGGCGCCTCCCCAGCTCCCAGCCCGTGTTGGTGGCTTCCTTTTTTACCCACATCCAGCTCAGCAAGTCTCGTCAAAAAATGCCCCTAAGGCCCCAGTGGCCACCAGCAAAGAAGACCCAGCCTGCTTTTTGAAGGTGGCTCAGGCCAGGGCGGAACGCCCCTCCTTCCCACTCTGAGCGCTGGCCGGATGGTCAGTGTCCAGCTGGGAACAAAGACCAGGGACTTCAGATCCTGCCGAGTGGCCTTGGAGCATACCTTGAGCCTCTCGAGAGAGGAGATGGGCAAAGGGCCAGGCCAAGGGCCAGGCCTAGAGCTGGGCGGTGGGTGCCTTTGTCACAGAGGTGCATTAGTAGCCTGAGCCGTGCAGGGGAGGGGCGTAGAGGAACTAGCCATAAGGTGGTAACTGCGCTCAGTGCCATAGAGAAAGTGAGAGAGCCCCAAATTGGATTCCGCCTCTGATGGTGGATCCACTGATAGAACTGCCAACCCAGTCCCGTTCTGGGGATGATTTATGGCCTGGGGTGAGGTAAGGGACGCAGCATGATTTCCAGATCACAGGCAGGGAGTGTTCAGCCTCGGCAGCAGAAAAATCATCATGGCCTTGTAAACGGAACAAGCGTGATGTGAAGAGGGACGAAGTCCAGGCCCCAGGAGGTCATTTTGCAGTTGCTTTTGGGGATGTGACTTAGGAGTGCGTCTGCCGGGTGGCCTCGCTCTCCCGCACACTCCCGCACACACCAGCCTCCCGGGGGCTCTCCGTGGGGGTGAGTTCGTTTCTGGGAGGTGGCAGTTTTGACTTCAGGGATTTGTCGGGGTTCAGGTCTCAGCCCTGGCACTGCCAGCTGAGTGAAACTGAGCAGGTCCCAACCTTCTGCACCCCCGCTCCCTGCTCTTCACTCGGGGGCTTGGCCCACAGCGAGCCTCACCAGAGGCCAGAGGCTTCCTCTCCTGTTGGACGGACGCCCTTCCCAGCGCCTTTCTCTTCTCCTGGGTTGGGGGCTGAGCGTTTGACTTATCTGGAGAAAATACTTTGTCACCCTTCGAGAGTTGGGCTTTTGTGGAAAAGCTCCTCGTTCCTGGAAGATCCGCGTCAGGCTGTGCTGCTCGCTGCTTCCGGCTGTGTACACACCCCTGGCCAGGCCTGGAGCTGGCTTTGAGGAAGAGCTGGCATCAGCCCCACAAGCGACGATGTCACAGTCCCCAGATGGAATGGGTCAGGCTTTGGGGGAAGCTGGCAAACTTTCTGGTAACCAGGTGTTTTGGGGAGCCCTGAATGCTCCACCCGCAGCCAGGGGCAGCAGAAAGTGGAGGAAATGGGTCAGAAGCAGGGTCACTGGCCTTTGGCACAGGGCACGTAACTGGGTGAACCCTGCACACACACCTTTGAATGACAGGCAGCACCTACAGGTGCTAGGCAGACATTGAGGCCGCGAGTGGTCTCCCTGGGTCCTTGAGTGACAATTCCTCAGCCAACTTCTAATGATCGAAAGGCCCCTCGGGTCGCTCAGGGTGATTATCAAAGCAAAGCACTCCCCTCGAAGGTGGCGCTGGGTTCTCCACTCCCAGCCACTGGCTCTCGCTGGGTAACTAGCGGGTGTCTTGCTTCCTCTCTCTTTTTGCTCCGATTCTAAGAGGGCACTCTGGCTCTTGCTGGTCCTCTGGATAGGACATTTTAGCAACAAGCCTC